CCCTCCCTCCAGGCTCATCCCCAGCTCCCTGCCCTCCTCACAGCCTGCACCCCTCCAGGCTCATCCCCAGCTCCCCTGCCCTCCTCACAGCCTGCCCCACAGCCACCTACATTCCTAGCTCCATTCTGCAGGTGGCCAATAGCTGAGGGGCCAATAGCTGCACCGTTATGGATTGAATTGTGTCCCCCAAAAATGTGTGTCGACTTGGCTAGTACATTACTGTGTGATTGTCCACCATTTTGTCATCCCATGTGATTTTCCTATGTGTTGTAAATCCTACCTTTATGATGTTAATGAGGCGGGACTCAATCTACAAGATTAGATTGTGTCTTAAACCAATCTCTTTTGAGATATAAAAGACAGAAGTGAGCAGAGAGACATGACGACCTCATACTACCAAGAAAGCCGAGCCAGGAGTGTGCCTCCTTTGAACCTGGGGTCCCTGCGCTGAAAAGCTCCTAGACCAGGGGAAGATTGATGACAAGGCCCTTCCTCCATAGCTGACAGAGAAGAGAAAGGCTTCCCTTGGAGCTGATGCCCTGAATTTGGACTTGTAGCCAGCCAACTAGACTGTAAGACAATAAACTTCTGTTTGTTGGTGCCATCCTCTGGTGGCATTTCTGTCATAGCAGCACCAGATAGCCAACACATGCACCATCTGGCCTAGAACCTAGCAGCCCCGAGAGAGCAAGCCGAGAGCAGGGAGCAGCACAGTGGCCTGGGACAGCAGGGTGGGAGTCACAAAGCCCAGTCCACCACCGTACGGATGCATGGGCAGGTCACGTTCCTTCTCTGGGCCTCAGTTTCCCTTTCTGTAAAATGAGGCGCTTGGAATCCTTCAGCCCTGAGGTTCTCCAGTTTCAGTATCTTCCCCTAATGCCTCCAGAGACTGGGGTAAGGGAAAGGAAAGACTCAGTCCTATAAAGCTGCACGGAGCCCTCTGAGGGAGAACTCTGTTCTGCTCAGCTAAATCTGGTGGGGGGCCAGCAGTCCAGATGCCCAAGGAGTGAGACCAAGGGGAATCAAAATGACTCCGTGTATTCAAGGAGGGCTAATGTAGGTCTCCTGGGGCAGCCTGGGAGACAAGGAACTGGGGCTCAGCCACACAGTGACAGGGCAGGGCCCAGGGACAACTGGGCAGTGCTGAGGGGCTCAGCCACACAGTGACAGGGCAGGGCCCAGGGACAACTGGGCAGTGCTGAGGGGCTCCACTGAGCAGGGGCAGCCTCCCACCAGCATGGAGGGGCTCCAACAGTCAGGGATCCGAGAGGGAATATTCATCCTTCAGCTGTGCTGGGCGTGGCCTGAAGCCCCACCCTGTTACCACAACTCACGGGGGTTAACTCGCTTTGGGCAAAGGGCTTAAGGGGCCCAGGGTTGCCCTTTCCTCTGGCTCAGAGTTGGGGAGACAGAGGTGCAGGTGAGGAGACCCTAAGTTTGATAATTCAGCAAAAGTAGGAGACCAGAACAAGATGGGACAGGGGAAGCATAAGGCCCCTAGGAATCTTCAGAGATATTTGGGGGTTCTGACTGCCCTTCATGAGAGGGGTTAAGGCAGTGTGGACAGGGAGAGGGGTCCCAGAAGACCACAGGATGTGTGGACATGCAAGCGGCTGCTACCCGGGTCTCAGAGCCTCCTCTCCCAGATGGTTCTGTAAAGCCACCCCACTGGAGTGGTCCTAGATGCTGAGATGCCCTTCCCAGCTCCTTCCCAGCACCCAGGATCCCTCTAGAGAGGCTGTGGATGGCGCAGGATTCCGGAAGCCCCTGTGACCCGAGGGGACAGGCCCCTCCCCTGTCCTAAGGAGCTCTGGGGGACATGGAAAGCCAAGGCAGGGGTCCCTGGAGGGAAGCAGCCTTGCCCAGCCCATGTGGCCAGCCTCTCAGCCCAGAACAGGCCCCCCTCCTCCATACCACCATAGCCCAGGCTGGGCCAGTCAGCAGACAGACCACCTGACGTCACTGCCCTACTCACTCCACCAGGCTTGGCGTCAGCTAAATTGAAACGTATTTAATGTGAGGCCCTAGCAATCCATCTCAGAACTAGCACGCGTTCCCTTCATATTTCCATATAAATAAGGGAAGCTGTGAAACCGAGAGATACAAATGGATCTCGCGGTTACAGACAGGGGTGTTTTTATTACCGCAGGGCCCAGGCCCTTCTCAGATGCCCTCCCTGCTTCTCTGTCTCTCCCGTCCACCCTGCCCATCCTTCCTTCTCCCACGCTTTAATACGACCCTTTACCACTGGTTCCTGGAAATTAAACAAGCCCCCATGTCGCCGGATAACAGGAATCTCCCTGGCACTTGAGAACGGAGCTGTCATTTGGCTTTTCCACAGCTGGAGAAAGGAGGGCATTTGTCTCCCTGCCCACAGATACCCCACAAGCCCAGCTGAGGCCACTGAACTCTGGGCTCTGGGCTCCTGGGCAGTAGAGTGGACAAGGACAGGCTCTCAGAGGCCTAGCAAGGCCCTTCTCCAGCCCATTCGGCCCCGGCCGGCCAGCCAGCCAGCCATTGCGATCCTTGATGGGAAAAGCCCCAGAGCCCCTTAGCGGAGGGCCAGGGCCAGAGACGGCCACAGAGCTAAGAAGCATTTCTGCAGGATTTTCTGGGTTTGAATCCTGGCCGGGGCCCAGAAGGGCAGACACGTGCGGCCTGTAGACCTCTCTCCAGATGGCCTCCGACCTCAACTCCTTCAAGACAAGACAGGGAACAGCCACACATGCTCTGGGGAAGCTGCGAAGATTGGGAAGGGCACATCATCATCCCCCCTGTCACCAGGAGAGATGCAAGTCCATCCCTAGAGGAGGGGGGCGCACGCAGCAAAGGCAGGAGGTGGGAAGAGGGACTGGGGCAGGAGCACATCAAAAAGACCTCCCCTCCAAATCGGGGGCCCAACTGCAGCAAGATGGAATGAAGTTAGATCTTCAGAAGGACCTACATGCTCAATGCGTGTTTTGTGGCTGACACGGGGCACTGCAGAAAAGGATGTTTAAGGAAGGGGACCCAGGAGGAGCCAGGACTTCTACATGGGAGATGACTGAGGTGGGGGCAGGACACTCCAGGTCAAGTTGCTAGGGGCGGCCTGGGGGAGATACTGAAGTCATAAAATAAACCCCATCGGAGAGCAATCAGGGAGGAAGATGAGAACTGGGAAATAAACAGAATCAGGTCAGTTCTCCACGGGTTCTCAGAGGCCTCTGTCCTTGTCCCTTCTCCTTCTCCCAGAGATTAGTTCCCTCTCCCAGGCACTTAGCGCCCAGCCCAGGGGCCTGGGAAATTGAAAAGACTTTGACTTGGAGAAACATGGCCTGGGAACTCACGTCACAACATACAGGAGACAGAGCAACCCCACTCCTAGGTACACCCAACAGAAACGCCGACCCAGCACAGGTCCCAGAAGGTTCACAGCTGCACTATCCGTAAAAGCCCCCAACCAGAAACAACCTGAACATCACCAGCACTAGAACGGACAAACACATCGTATTCACACAACGGAATGCCGCACGACTGGGAAACAGATGTGTCTACAGCCACACACCATAAGATGGAAGATGGTAACACAGATGTAACCCTGACAGAAAGAAGCCAGACACGAAAGAGGACCCGCTGTCTGATTCCATTCGGAAAAGTAAAAAAACAGGCAAAAGCCCTCTATGCTGTTAGAAGCCAGGGTCACGCCAGCCCTTGCGGGGTGGTAGGTGGAGGGAGACACGAAGGGACTTCTGCGGGGCTGATCACGTTCTGTTTCTTGATCTGGGTGCATACGTGTGTTCAGTTTGTGTATGTGATACTTCAATAAAAAGTTTAAGCTCACACACACACACACACACACACACACACACACACAGAGGAATGTCTATAGTGTAATTGCATGATCTTAGGTAAGCCTTCTGCCCTCCACAGTTCTGCCCACCTCTAAGACACATGAGCTGGGCTGGACCCTTAGCCCCCCTCCTGGGGCAGAATTGCACAGTGCCAACACGGGGGCAGAGGGTTGCTCCTACAAGCCCCTTGTGCTTGGAGCCACCAGGCCCACCTCTGCCAGGATAGGCAGCAGCCATGGCATGGGACAGTTGTCACCAACTCCCTCAGGGAAATGAGCAGAAGAACCAGAACCCAGCCATAAACCCCTCCTCTGCAGCCCCTGATTTCCATCTCTTGGACCCCGGACCTTTCTGGAAGCCCAGCTTCCTCTAGCCCTTTGTAGCAGCCCACCTTCCAGTGGTGGCACCCAAGTAGCTTAAACGTTGCTCCCCCTCCTCCATCTCCCCACATCCACCTCCCCCACCACCCAACTCCCATCCAGGATCCAGGACCCCCCCCTCCCAGGCCACCCGAGCAACCTGCCCTGAAGTGCGTCTTCACCACATGCTCCCAGCCCCTCTCCAGTCCTCCCCTCAGGCATCTCCAACAAGCAGAAATCCTGGCCCCTCCTTGGTCCTCTTCCCTCACCCCTGTCTCAGACACAGCACGTCCATTAAATATGCACAGAGCTCCTAGTGTTGGCCAGCCGCTGCACAGGCCCTTTCATGTATGTTGTCCTAACACGTCCCCACGACAACCCCACAGAGAGGTTGAGTAATCTTTGGGAATCTGAGATGGCATACATTAGTCCACTCTGGCTTGAATGACTAATAAAATACGATGCTCCTTCCAAGAGCTTTTGCAGGTCCAAAGAAGTACATGCTAAACCAAAGAAATGGATCTGATGATAAGATGCCAAAATAAGTGGGTACACAGGTGTTTTGGATTAGGAGGGGCCTCCTGGTGGTGCTCAGAGCACCCACCTTAGATGACAATTCATTCTACTTAAGAGTGTTTTCATTGTTGGGAACACAGAAGCCAGAGAGCTGATCCATCCATCCATCCATCCATTGACCTACCCATCCATCCATCCATCCACCTATCCATCCATCTATCATCCATCCACCCACCCACCTACCCATCCATCCATCCACCCATCCATCCATCCACCCATCCATCCATCCATCCATCCATCCATCCATCCATCCATCATCCATCCACCCACCCACATACCCATCCATCCATCCATCCATCATCCATCTACCCACCCACCTACCCATCCATCCATCCATCTATCCAACCACCCATCCTTAAAACATTTATGAAGCCCCTCCTGGACAGGATAGACTTCAAAGGGAGACTATCCCAGAGGGGAAGGGGAAAGTCCATAGAGCTAGCCTCCTGAACAGTGCCAGAAACCCCATTTGCCTCAGTTTCCCCACTTCACTGTGTTCCTCCTTCCCACCAGAGATCAGAAGGGCCTCTGTGGCACAGTGAGCAGGGGTCTATACTGGCCTCCACCCCTTCTTGGGCAGGGTGAGAGTATAGCCAGACCAGCTTCAGGGGGAGGTCTCCCAGCTCACCACACCCATGCCACAAACTGTGCCAGTAATTTCTACATGTGAGCTCATCCAATCCAACCTCTGAATAAGGTCATCACGCTTCCAGGGGCACACAGCTCATAACTGAGAACCAGGATGCAGACCCAGGCTGTCAGGCCCGGAAGCCCACATTCTGAACCTCTATTCACTAGCCTGAAAGTATTCTGTGGGCAAAGAACAATGAAGGACTGAGAGAGCCACACCCCCAGAGCCAGGAGATAAGACAGTGAGCCTACAGCCAGGCCTGCCCTTTGCCCCCTGCTGCAGCCACAGCCTGGGCCTGCATGTCTCAAAGAGGCAGGTGTCACATCCAAAGACGTCCCCCAACCCCGACTAAAGAAACAACACAGGCAGCCTCTTCCGATGCCTGGAGACCCTGGCTCAACAGCCCTACCCCGAGAACCCGGACCAGAGGAAACCTGGGTGACCAGAGCCAGGTCTGGAGCCAACACAGCACACAAGGTCATACAGCCGGGGCCACGTCCACCCATGGGACAGCCAGACCCCTTACAGAGGGTCTCCAAGTGCCAGGCTTGAAGGCACCTCCTTCACCTCCCCTTCCTCCACCAAGATACCTTCTGTGCGGATGGTGAAGGGCGAGTCCCCCAGGCGCCGGGCTGAGAACTGGCCTCCCAGAGACGTCATCAGGAAGCAGAGTGTGAAGAAGCCAATGCCCAGGACAAAAAGCCTGCAGAGAGGGACAGGGCAGGTCAGAGGGCAGGTCAGCTGCACAGTGTCCCTAGCACTCCTGTCCGGGAGGGGCTCTGTAGGTGTCTTAAGGATGGACGGTTGGATGATGGATGGATGGATGGATGGGTGGGTGGGTGGATGATGGATGGATGGATAGATGATGGATGGATGGGTGGATGATGTATAAATGGATGGATGGATGGGTGGATGATGGATAGATGATGGATGGATGGGTGGATGGATAGATAGACGGATGGATGGATGGATGGATGGACGGATGGATGGATGGGTGGGTGGATGAAGGATGGATGGATAGATGATGGATGGATGGGTGGATGATGTATAGATGGATGGATGGATGGGTGGATGATGGATAGATGGATGGATGATGGACAGATGATGGATGTGTAGGTGGCTGGATGGATAGATGGGTAGATGGATGCTCAGATGGAAAAGTGAGAGAATAGGGGACCGAGCTGGGCCCAGGAGGTCTCTCAACACCACGGTATAAAAGAGATCAACTACCAGGAACAGGCCACGAATCACACGCAAAACCATGAAGGGAAAATCATGCACATTTAGGTATAAAGTTGGGCCAGTTTTAGCCTCAAGATAGAGCCTGGTTTATTAAAAGCAGTAGTTTTCAAAGTGTGGTCTCCAGGCCAGCATCATCAACATCACCTGGGAACTTGTTAGAAATGCGTATTCCTGGGCCCAACCCCAGACTTACTGAATCAGACACTCTGGGGGTGGGGCAAGCAATTTGTGTATTAACAAGCCTTCCAGGTGACTCTGATACATGCTCAAGTTTGAGAAGCAGTGGTACAGACAGAAACAGCAGGGTCCGATGCCAACCAGAGGGCAAGTAATTGGTCAGAAGAGACCCACCTGGAACCCATCAATCACCTGGGCCACAGCTAGCACCTGTGTACACAGGCCTTGAGGCTGCAATCATCATGAGCCCACGCGAACACCTCCTTATCTGTGTTCTGAGGATTTCTTCAAGGAGGGCGTGTGGCCCCCATCACCAGCAGATGGTAAGATCTCCAAGGGCAGGGCCACATGGCCCCATTCTGTGCCCAGCATCTCCCTGACACACAGCTTCAGCTGCGCACACAGTAGGTTGTCAGCCTGCACCACTGGCTGGCAGGGTGTGCCCAACCCCACCTGTGCATACAGCTGTGTGTGCTGTCCGCTGGCCAGGAGAGCTGGCCAAGGAGTGGACTCTGGTTCATTCCTTCCACGTCTAGTTATTGAGTATCCACCAGGTGCCAGGCACTGGGGCAGCCCCAGGGAGACAGCGGAGAACAAGACACACAGTTGTGTTTCAAGTCCAGCCCCAGCTCCTGCCGCTTTAATACTAGATCCTGGGCCCCAAACAGGAGAATTGAGCTCACCAGCACAGCCTTGGGGGCAGAGAGAGGTGGTGCCTGTACTGGAAACTTGAATCTATCAGAGGACTTGCCCAGGCTGGAAGGGGAGCCCCTCACCCCTCGCAGGCCAGGGTGAGGAACCCCATCTCATGTGGGGCCAGGCTCAACGGGGGAACCCTCCAGCCCTCCACCTCCACTCCCATCCTAAACCCTACACTTGTTTGTGTCTTTACGCAAGACTTGTTTTATGCATTTTAATCTTCATTCTTTGAAACTGGCAGTATTTAATTAAAATTTGGCCCACTAAAGAAAACACATAATTGCAGAAGAAAATAAAAGCACAACAAAATTCCCAACCCATATTTAAAGGAAACCGTTATAAATTAAATCAGAGAGGGGGCAGAACCCAAAAGCAGGGAGGGGACTCAGGGCTTCCCCCGCCCCAACACACACAGCCTCTCACAAACCACGCCCCTGGCAGGCAGGAAGAGGAAATGTGACTCAGAAGGTCCCTCACCTCACAGGGACCCCAGACTTAATTCCATCAAGCCTGGGACTGGGGTTCAGGCTCTGGGATCCCCAAGATGAAGTCAGGCAGGTATCAAGTTCACACACCCAGGGAGATCCCAGGGGGAGTCAGCTATTCGTCCTCCAAGTCCGAGAACAGGACAGAACCCGCCCAGTTCAAGCTCTTGTCCTTCACCCTCCCCTCCCGCCCCCAGCTATGAGGCTGTATTTAGAGGTGGAGACCCGGATTGTCGGAGTCCAAAGACCTGCAGCTGCCTATTTCTCTTGCCCAGCACCCCCCTAACCCTGCAAGCTGGTGCCCCGACTTCCCTGAGGCCTGAACACCATCCCAAACACACCTCATCTACCAGACTCCAGTCCTGAGGTCCAGAGTCCCCCAGAGCAGCTGGGGTGACTTACAGGAGACAAGTTAAAATGGTTTCATCTATCCGTGTACCCACTGTAGCAACCCTGCAAAAGCTCCTACGCCTGAGGCTTTGGGGAAACCACAGGGGCAGGGCCCCAGGCCACCCCTGAGGACTGAGAAGCCAGGGATGTGATTAGAGCCCTAGTCCCCTGTCTGAACGGGACATGAACACATCACTGGTGCCTGTGGGCCTCCCGGCAGCCAGGGAAGACCCTGAGGTGAAGCTATATAACTACAGAACTTGGGAGACAGGGGGTCTGTGTAAGCCCACCTTGAGTTCTGCCTTCAGATTAGAGCCGGGAAGACCTAGGGCAGTGGGGACAGGAGCTGTCCCTGGTGTAAGGAGCCCGCCAGCCCTCTGTGCTAAGGGAAGCGCCAGGGAGCGGCTCCCGTCAGCTCAGGTCAGAGGTGTGGGAGACTGGCAAGGACCCTCTCAGCTGTCCCGCAGGCCAGGGATTGGAGGGTTCCCCTGGAGGAGCAAGACACTTTCAGAGATGCCGGATGCCTGCCCTCTTTCCCATGGTAACCTTATGCCAAGGGGTCTTGACACCCCCAATCACCTGCCCAGGGCTCTGCTGTCCTGCTCATCCTGCGAGCGGCAGCGACCCAGCCTGACGCCTGCGGTCCCCGGAGACTGCCTCTCAGCCTCGCACAACAGGTCCAGCCCATAGAGGGGCTGCACATACGGGGCGGGGGGCAGGCGAGGGGAGGGGCGGGAGCCAGGTGAGCCTCGACCCCTCAGCCTGGAGGAGGAGGGAGACCAGCGGGGCCCTGGGAGGGAAACCGAACTTGGCGGAGCGGCTGGGACAGGAGGGGCTCGAGCCCGGCCCCCCCAGCAACCCGCGCCTCAGGCGTTCCGGCTGGGCCAGCTCCCACCTGGCGGGCTCCGTCCAGCGCCCGGACCCCTCCTGTGGCTGTGTCCGGAGCCCGGCCACCACCCTGGCGCCGCCTCTCCCTCGGAGCTCTCCGCAGCCCCGCTCCTGGGCACCCAGCGCCCCCTCCCCGGCTCCGGTGCGGGCCGGGCTCCGCGGGCGCCTGGGAGGAGAAGGGGCCGCTGGGCTCAGTGGCCCTGGTGGTCTCGGCAGCACAGGGTTGGGAGTCTCCGCCTCCGTCCGCCCCCCCAGGTCTCCCCCCACCCCGGCTCCCGCCGTCCCTCCGCCCCGAGGTCGGGGGTGAATCCCAGGCAGAACGGGCCCTCGCCCCAGTCTCGGGGACCCTCCCGTTGGAGACAACACCCGCGTCCCCCAGAGAAGAGAGCGCGCCGAAGGCAGGGGACCCGCGGCGAGGGGGGAGCGGGGTGGACCTGCCGACAGAGGGGCTGCCGGGCCGGACGCCAGGGGGCGCAGCGGGCTTTACGCGCGAACTTGGCCATCCGTGGGGCCGTCGGGGGTGGGGAAGGACCACGAGGGGTGGGGAGGGCGCCCTGGCCAGGGCGACCTCCCGCGCCCAGGCCCACAGTCCGGGTCCTTCTGCCTCCATTGCCACCTTCGTACCCCGCGTCCTCTCCAACCTCGACCAACTCGGGACAGGTCCCTGGAACTGCACGCCCCTCCCCTCTTGGACCCCGATCCTTGGCTCCATCCGCTGCCACATCCCCGCTGGCCATCACCGCTCCCCAAGGCTGGAGCACGAACCGCCCCTCCGCCCCCGGGACGCCCACCCTCGCGGGACGGACCTCGCCCATCCCGACCCCGCGCCCTCGGTGAACTGACCTCCCAGCGCCCACCAGGGAGAACTTTACCGGAAGGGTCTCAGGGTGACCAGGCATCTTCTGATCATTATCTTCCCATCAGGATTGACTGTGATCATCGTGCAAACTTGCCGGGCGACGAGCCGCGAGCGAGGCCGGGCGCACCGTCCCGGGCCCAGCCGGATGCGCCGAGGCGGGGCGCGGGGCCTGGCTGCTCGGCCGCTGCCCGCGGGTCGGCGCGGCCTCGGAGGGAGGAAAGGAGGTGCGCGGTGCCGGAGGGGCGAGGGCGCCCGGCCGGCCGTCTCTGCGTCTCCGCTCTCCTGCTCACATTTTGGGGGCCAGGAGACAGTGTGCCCCCAGACCGCCGGCCGCGCGTCTGCCTGCTCGGGCTCGCTCGCTGGGTGGGACCGCGCCGCAGAGCGCAGAGGGGCTGCCCACCGCCGGCGCCCGCATGCCCCGCGCCCCTCTCGGAGCCTG